GCGCGCCCAGAGCCTCGCCCACGTGGCCCGTCTCAGCCAATGGGCGCGCCGCGCGCGCGGACCCGGATCAGGAAGCGCGCGGGCGCGTGATAGATGCTGCTGGTCGCCCCAGGGGCAGTGGGAGGGAGAAGCATTTGGGTGCCCCAGCCCCTCAACTTTGAGTATCGCTAGGAATTCGAAGTGCCCCCCTGACTGCTGGTCTTCTTGGACGCCCTGGCCGGACAGTCCCTCCGCTTACCCGGACCCTGGCCTAGGCCTCGGGGTGGGGGTGGAGGGCAGTCTTTCGCCTGGCCAGGGGCCCAACACAGACCTCGAGCCCCAGCTCTTTTTTGTTTGGCGCCCTCCAGGTTCGAGGCCAGCTCCAGGAAAGGTACCCAGACCAAGGAACCATCCTGAACCTGGGCCAGGAATAAAACGAAAAAGGTTGACATCGTTTGTTGTTGTTTTTACCCTCACACCCCCTTCCCAACACCCTGCGCCCCGAGTCTGAGAGCTCCGGTGTTAAGAACCCCACCCCGCCCCCCGCTGGAGCCCCAAACCGGTGGGTGGGCGCGCAGCCCAGAGAAATTGGCACTGTCATTTAACGGAGGCCTTTTCAATATGACCGGCTGGGCATTTTCTCTTCTTTTAAAAATAGAACCAGTCATTTGTTTTTGTTTTAGTTTTCCCTTTTAAAAATGTTGAGCCTTACTAACAGCATCTCATTTGATGGAGGTGTTGATGTGAGAGCTAACACACCCGCGTGTGCTATTGTGAGAGCGAAGGTGGCCCAGAGGCGGGGCGGCCCTGGACAGATTGCGACGCCTCTGCAAAACCCAGCTTGGACATCAACAACTTCCTATTTCAGAACCATCCTACCCACCCACCTCCGAACGCGCCAAGGACAGGTTTCACCCAGCGCACAGCCTGGTCGCTGGCAGGACTTTACAAATGAAGATTTTTGTTTTCTCTTTTAACTGCTGCATTCTCAGGTTCCAGGTTTATTTGCAGGACAGGCGATAATTTTTTGAATTAGCATATTAACGATAGCAGGAGTGCCGGAAAGGGGAGAGAGGGAACTGTTGCCTGCCATTCAGTAATTGAAATTTGATGGGTAAACTAATTACGTCATTATTAACAAATAAATTACTTATTAATTCCACCTAATGTTGATCTCTGAAGTAAATACTGATGCCTTATTTGTGCTGTGTTATTTTCCTTTCCTGCGTCACAAGCACACCTATACCCTTTACTTTACAGCCCAGATTTAAGCAGTGCAAACTAGCATCATCATCATACTAAAAATACTTTCATATGGACATGCAAAGCACGAGTTTTTCAGCTGGTGCACCTTGGTTGATTTTTTTAAAGAACAGTATAAACAGCCTTTTCACAACTGAATCGGGACTGCAGACAAGGAAAGTTATAGCCTAAGCCTGGAGACACTTCAAAAGGAGTGTCAATCCTATCTTCATTTATATCAGTTACTCATAGGAGTTACTAAATGCTAGGATATATCCATTTGATGGATAGTCATTTAATGCTTAGACACATAAAGCCTATTATATGAGACTAATCTTTAAACTAATTTAAGAAAAGAGGTTAAAAAAGGGATCATGTTAGCTTTCTAACTGGAATTACCCTGAAGTGCTACAAAGAGGTTTTGCACTCTGTGTGTGTGTGTGTGTATGTAGACTGCTGTCCATTGATGTGGTGCACCCTGAAAAAAATTTTTTTAATGAAATCTGAGCCACAAATAGAAATCAGTGCTGAGTATAATCTTTAGATTCCCTCTCTAGATTTGGGGGGTAGGGGGAAGCTAACCCACAGCTACTGCCTACACCAGTTTCTACAGCAAGAAAAAAATACATATATAAATTATGTGAACATATATTATACACGGTTTATGATATATATTACAAATCTGGGCTAGATCTTTAAGCATCAGAGGGAGAAAAACCACAACAAGGAAATCTTGCCCTCCTCATGTCATCAGCCTTGAGTAGTAAGGCTGAACCATGTCTGCTTAATATTATTTACACACACTAAAATACAAAAGTCATTGTCGTTTGTCCTCAGAACCTCCTACTGAGTTTCTATTTTTAGCTATTAACAAGTCGCTGGCCCTGTTTTGTATATGGCTAACCTAAAGGAGTTAACTGTGCCTGCGTTTCATGTGGTTCTATTGCTTTAGGAAGATGGGCTTATACAGAATCCCCCAAGGCCTGTAACTTGTCTTTGTGGTTCCTATCATAAACACAAACGGAGCCAGGACCACCAAGTGTTATCTTACACACCGACATTTTGACATTTTACTGCAAGATTTATGGCTGTAATAAACAATCTCACTACCTTTTCGCATCCTTCTATAATCTCCCTTTGCAAGCCATAGCATCATTCCATTGAATCAAATAACCTTTTGAAAAACATTAAGAAACACCTCTTGCCTTAACATAAGGCCCCAGACACCAAAGTCATGCCAGAAAGAAACTAACCCAATTAATAAAGGACCTGAAGTTTACTAGCAGCATCTCACCCGAGCAAAGATGGGGCGCTCAGAAACGGAGCAGAGAGGTAGCGTGCTAATCTTCGCACACCAACTGGCTACAGTCCCAAGCGGGGTGAAAGCGCTATTTGCTGGGGCAACTAGTAAGCACATTTGCTCATTTCCACATGCAGGAATAACATATATCCCCAACAAAAGCTTTCTTAAAATCCCATTAAGTGAAATAACTTTCCATCATGTCCTCGCATCCCAGATGGAGAAGGAGAGTGGAGGGAGTCTGAGGGAGAGGGAGGGCAAGAGGAGGCAGCGTTTGCAGCCTGGTTTGAATCTGATTTGAATCATTTTGAATATATTTGGAACAGCCTTCCCTCTTGAATGCAACCCTGTCCCAAGTTTCAAAGTGACCGAACAGTGACACCGTGTGCATTTTGTTTCTTATTAATCTTACACATTGACAGTCTTTGTTAAATCACAAGGCGCGCCCTTCACCAGCCGACATTTTCATATTTGTTAGACGCGCTGACCTGAAGTTCACCTCGCCCTTGGACTTTGCGCTTCTAAAAGGTCTATACAGTGTCTTTTAGAGAGCAGGGTGCTTTGCCCAGGTCACTACTTCTCAGGGAAAACCAAGGGGGGAAAGCAAAGGAAATGTAAACGGTATGGAATGTATTGACTGTATTTGTCCTTTGTTCTTTAGAGCACGAGTCCCCCAGACTGTTTATCTCAAGAGCGGCTCTCTGGAACAAACAGGGAATGGCTGAATTTCAAAATGCCTGGTGATGGCATTGGAGGGCATTCCCAACCCCCCCCCCCAGCTCACCCCCACCTACACTATAGGCATAAGATTTTAGAAGGCTAACACTTTATCAGTCATCTAACCAATTCATTGTTTGGAGGCAATTTCCTTGCAGTAGTTTAAAATAACAAACACAAGCCAGGCCTGGGATTGAAATTTACATTACAATATTATACATGTGTTTTGACCAGGATTGTCTGAGAGGCCTAAAGATAGGAAATCTCCGAATAAAAATGTAGACACTCTAAAACAATAACTTCCACAGGTACCGTTTTCTTTTCATTTAAAGATGTTCCAGGCTGCCTCTATGATTATTGAAGCTGTATTTCCAAGACACGACATGCGTTTTTGTTTAACTAACACATACACAAACAGCAATCAAAAAGGTTTCCTGGAAGAGACCCTGATTGTCTTGGGGAGTAACAAGGAGGGTTTCCACTTGCTCCAGTTCCCTAGCTCAGACGTGGTGAACAGTTTTCACTGCGGAACCAGCCACCAGTACAGTTGTCTCTTTTCTTCTATTCTCATCTGGCAAACCCCCATTTGGCTTCAAGCTCTTGGCCAGAGTGAAAACTTTACACATTGCACAGTGGAAGCACCCTGATTGCTACCATGAAGGCAGTGTTTAGGAAATATTTACTTTGCCATTGAACATACTTGGCACTGTTCAATCCAGCCAACCAGAAGACATTGAGATGATCTTAAACATCCTACATTTTGAGCAGTAGTATGATCTCGTTTCCAGCGTTTGGAAAACATATATATATTTCTCCTCTTTTCCTAGATGGATCACTTTGGAGGTCAATGCATAGAAAAGGAAATGCTAAAAAAAATTTAAAAAGGGAAATGCTGCGTCCCCCAGAAAAACAGATTCTAATGCCCTCAACACTTACAGCTAATCTATCTGTATGAAAAATAAAACATTGTTTAGCTCTCCAAGTGCAACTAGCACAACACAAGGTGTGGTTCTAGTCGGCTTCCTTAATCCACTGTTCTTTCTTCCCCCACGCTGCCAGTCTTCACGCTTCGTGGTGTCCCTCCTGTTCCCTTAACTCTTCTTCCAAAGGTATTTTTAAAGGATTTTCTGGAGAATGGCACTCAGCCATGGCCATTTTATAGGGTGCCAGGGCATTTGTGGACTTCACCTTGCTGATCAAGTGGCATAGTCTCTGTGTTTCAGTTATTCACTGACAGATTGCATCATTTCTCATGCATTCAGATAATAGGGGGACATATTCAAGAAACGGGGCCAATTTCATGGCCCGAGCAACATTTTTCCCTTGGAGGAGGGGGGCAAGAATGCTGCCCCCTTTGAGAGGGCTTCTCCCTCCTCTCCTCTTGCCTCAACTCTGAGAAATCCCCACCCCCACCCCACCCCCACCTCCAGTAGGATCCAGGGGAAGCATTCTCTAATTTTGAAAATTGTGAAGAATACATTTTGAAAGAAGTACCTGTGTTTGACCAAGTTCTCACACACCTTCTAATGCATGGAGTTTCCAAAGGAAGAAAAGGAAAGGGGGTGGGGAGCTGTCCTGGCTAATCAAAACCTTAACTAACTAACTAACTAACTAAAGGATGTTTCTGGTCCCATCCCCTTGCCTTGGAAGCTATCACGGAACATTGCAAACTTGCTTTATCAGTTTCTAAGGGTTCACAGTTCTGTTTTGAGCATTTTTTGGTTTGTTTTGAGACAAACCTTGGTTCTCCTACATGGAAAGGTGTTGGTTGCTGTTTCCGCAATCTATGCCGATTTACCTGCTGCTCTTCCCTCCGAATGGGAGCGATCATTCAAGATGAAATACAGCGTGTATTACTCTTGGAAAGAGGAATTTTCTATCCTTTCCTCCGTAATTGAGGTCATTCAACCACTAGAGTTCACCCGGAGTCCATACCGTGGTACACGCGTCACTCCGAGCCATTTTATCTTTTGTGCTGATAGTCAAGATCGCGCGCTAACATTGACATCAAACTCTGTCTGGGCAGATGACTAAGAGTGCTGCATAACATAAACTTTTGACCCTCAACTTTTTGACCTGCAGTTGTAATGCACTAACCACAAAGATACACAAAGCTGTGCTTCTTCTTTCAGGGGGAAGGGGCCCCCTAGGAGCTCAGGGACGCCCTGCTTCTCCACTACTGCCTTTTGGAAT